CCTATCCCCTGTGTGCCTTGCCTCCACGACTTATATAAGGATAGTCTAAACTTCACAACCCTTCAAATTACAAAGGTTAAAGATAGAGAGAGTTGTGAAGGGTGGATTTACTAATTTTGTAGTCTATTTTTTTTAAAAACTTACTTTTTGTGATATCTTCATCAGTAAATAATGACAGTTTTGTAAATATTACTGCAGTACAAGTTTTTGTCATCTCCATAAAAAGGTAAAGTTAAAATTTTTACTAAAAGACAAAGACACTGAACAAATAAAATTCCAGGACACTAACTTCCAAAATGCCATTATACTTTTGTAAAAATTCTAAATTTGCCATTAAACATTTGTAAAAATTCCAAATTTGCCATTACTTAATAGTTAAGTTGTTGATTCTAGACAAACCCATATATATAGTAAACATGACTTAAGAGGGATATGAATGTATACTGTGAATATGAAAATTATGCGTAAGGATAAAAATTAAGCAGTCAATCATGAACACCCGCTAGTATTAGTACATGTTAGATTGGTCGAACCCCCACAATACATGGTCCGGGATATCTTTGATCTCAAACTACTACATTCATCATCACTAATATTAACGGCCATGTATACAATGAGACCATTTGCTTTTGATATAAGGAGGTCGCAATCATCATTGATTGTTAGATATGAAATTGGGTAGCTGAGGATGCATCATTGTTTAGTCAGAGTCCAAAATAAAATTTCTCGAATGTTATGACATACTTTTATCTATTGGATTTCACATCTAATAGCCAAAAGTAATTGTGACCTCGTGCCAAGAATAAATGGTCTCATGTTATAGAATTCTAAAATTAAATCCCAAGTAGTTTCCAAAAATGATCCAAGTCAGACATAGTAAACAAATTATTTTAGAGGCTTTAGAGTTTAGGCCACTCGTTTTATGGACTCAAAAGAGTCCAAGATTGTAAAGGCCCAAAATATCCATTTTTTTTTTTTAAAAAAGAAAAAAGGAAAAAGAAAAAAGGAATGTTAACAAGTTGTGTAAAAGATGATCAAGAAAAATTGCACATCAAATGCCCAATGTGCAAAGTCAGGCTGGACCACACTATTGCCCACATACCTTTTAAAACGTTTGCACTAAATTGTTGGATTAATGGTGGATACTTAAATAATGCCTAAATTTAGCCCAATATTTTATTTTTCTTTTTTCTTGGCTGTAGGATATGTTTTCAGAAATGGTGAAGAGTACAGAGGAGATGCTAGGAAGATGGAGAGAAAGTGATGGCCGGGAGATTGAAATTTCGAGTGAACTAAGGGTCTTGACACAAGATATAATTTCAAGGACAGCATTTGGTAGCAATTATTTAGAGGGCCAAGAATTGTTCAACTTGTTTTCAAAGATGGCAATTCTAGTCTCTTCAAATGTTCGAAAAATCACATTTCCTGGCAGTGGGTAAGATACTATTATCCCTCATCTTACTTTTGAACTCTTTGTGGGACAAATCCTGTCAAAACATTATTGTTAAATTTCTGCCTCACGATACAATCAAATGAATTTTGAAGGAATGAAACGATGTCCATTTTTTCCAAGAAGAAATGGAATGAAAATTTGTTGGGATATTTGAAACAAGAGGGATAGTTGAAAGTGAAAATGGACGACGTGAACTAGCACAATACGTATAGTTCAGAATTTTCTTTTGCAATACCAAATGGAATACTTATATATGTACAAGAAATACAATTATAACTCAAATGAAAAAGAAAAAAATATAATATTAGGGCTCTCATTTGTTGCCAGCTTCCAAACAATTTCTCATTACATAAGTAAAATTGTATCAAGGAACAAAAAAAACATAAGAAAGAATAAAACAATAAATTGTACAAAAAGATTATCTCTAATGGACTTTATACATCCCACACTAGGTCTCCTCCACTAGGCATACATGAATCTTAGTAAATGGGAAGCTTGGCTAAACCCTCTAGTCAACATATGGGAGCATATATGAGCATGAGATTAGATCCTTTTTCTCTAAGTATATGGGCATATCGCCCATTCTTATCAAGCCTCCTAGGGGCATGAACCCTTTCTTATTTTTCTATGTCTATGACAAAGGGAAGAGTAGGGTGAAAGGGTGGTGTGCCACCAATGTGGGAGAGAGAGAGACAGAGAGAAAGCTTTAGGTTAGGGTATAGAGATTTGACCCCCCAAAGAGATGTATTTATAATATTGAAGCTAGGGTTTGGGATTTAGGGTTTAGTTATCTGTATGGAACTTCAATTTTGACTATTGTTTATAAGTGACCTATTCTTAGCCATAAAATTGTTAGATCAGCCATCATGATCAAATGAAAGGTGCTAGAATTATCCTTCATCCTTCAAAGGGTCTACCAACATTGGCTCAGTGGGAAGATATGTAATCTCTCTCTCTCTCTCTCTCTCTCTCTCTCTCTCTCTTCTCCTCCTCTCTCTCTCTCTCTCTCTTCTCTTCTCTCTCTCTTTTCTTTCTCTCTCTCTCTCTCTCTCTCTCCAAGACCTACTTCATTCCAAATGTGATAGTAGTAAAACTTGATATGCTTAGACCTTTATGAAATTGTGGCTCCTTAGCATCACAAATTGTGGCTCCTTAGCATTACAAACTGTGGTTTGATTATCGCAGAAGATCTTTATATATGTGTATTGCATGGTCTCGAACTGTAGTTGGTTAAGAAACTTCTTTATGATACAACCTCCTTGGCGGCTATACAACATGACACATATTCTGATTCCATGGTAGATAATGCTACAACATCCTGTTTCATTGATTTACATCGCCTCCACCAAGCATGGACACATATCCAGATATGGATTTCAAATCATCCGGGGCCCCTCAATAATTCGCATCAGTATACCCTTGAACATCAATTTCTGATCCCCCACTATATGTGAGCGATATATTTTAGCTCTTTCAGATATCTAAGAACTCTGTTAACTGCCTTCCAATGTTCAATTCTTGGATTGCATTGGAACCATCTAGTTATGCTCATGGCAAAGGACAAGTCCAGTCTTGTTCCTGATATGGCATATATTAGAGATCCTATTGTGGTGCGATATTCTTTCCATGACCTTTTTCTCATTATCATCATTAAGGCACACTTGCGGGCTATGTTTTGTCTTCTTATCAATAAGGGTAGATATGAGTTTACACTTATCCATTTCAAACATTTCTAGTACTCTTTTATAATAGGTTGGCTAGGAAAGTTGAATGGTTTGATTTGCTCTATTTCTTGTTATCTTGAAGTCCAATACATATGAAGTTTTTCCCAAGTATTTCATATCAAAGTATCATAAAATCAATTCTGTTGTTCCACGCAAGGGCCATTGTGCAACTAACTATTAGCATATCATCCACATAAAGCGATATGAACATGACATCACTCCCACTTACCTTGCTATAAATGAAGTAGTCTTGCTCATTCAAGGTGAACCTGTCTTAAATAAGGTTTTGTGAAGTTTGATGTACTATTATCGCGATGCTTGTTTAAGGCCACAAAAGGATTTACAAAGTTTACAAACTAGGTTCTCCATTTCTTTATCTAATGGATGGAGATTTTGCAACTAGAGAGAAGGTTTCATCATCGTCAATCCCCTCCTTCTGGGTGAACCCTTTAGCTACTAGTCTAGTCTTATATTTTCTAGTTTCCCCTCTGAATTTAAGTTTTTCTTGAAGACTCATTTGTATCCAATAGGCTTCTGGTTATATGGTAGAGATACTAGTTCCCGGACATGGTTTGTGTTTTGGAATTGTATTCCTCATTCATGGCTTCTACCCAATGTTTTTTTCAGGATAGGTTGTGGCTCCTTTGCATTTGGTTGGATCTTAATTTTTTTCGTCCCCAACTCTTTCGTAATATTTCCCCAGGTAGGTAAAGAACTCGGGTTTTCTGATACAGTTGCTTCTCTTAAAAGGTTGCAGTTCGGGTTCTTGAGACACAAACTTATCACTAATCAATTCGTAGAGGTCAGCCTTCTTGTGACCAGTCTTTGCTTCAAGGAACTCGTCCTCATAGAAGTGGGTGTCTTTCTTTTCAATGATAGCCAAATTCTCAAGGTTTTAGCTGAATTCTCAAGGTTGTAGAATGTATACCCCTTATCGTGGTTTGGGTAACCAATTAAGAAGCGTTTAATGGTCTTGGGATCAAGGTTGATCATATTTTGGTATGGGATTAAATATGGGTAGAACAACCCCACACTCTTAAATGCTCAAGGGACAAATCATGAATAGTGAATATTTTATGAGGAGTTGGAGGAGTAGCTTCAATGGGTGTGAGGTTGAGAATATATCCTACTGCTAGTAATGCTTCTCCGTAAAACTCAATGGAGAGCTTTCCATGCCCTATCATACTTCTCACCATCTCTACCAAGGTCCTATTCCGTCTCTTAGCTACCACATTTTGTTAAGGTGTGTATGGTATGGTTTATTGATGTATAATTTCTGGCACTACACATAAATCCTTGAATAGTTGTGAGGAGTATTCATCGCTCCTATGTCCTCAGTACTTTTATATTTCTTAAATCGGTACGGAGCTTCAGATTTTGAGTACAATAGGTAAATATGGCCAAATTGCTAGTTGTCACCAATAAATGTTATGAGGCATCTTTTATGGCTCGTAGTTGCCACATTCATGAGTCTGCATGTGTCACTATGGATGATTTCTAAAACATTAGAAATATTTTGTGCACCAATGGAGAGTTTTCTTATCATTTTTCCTTTCACGCATGATCCACACACTTTGGATAGATCAACCCTTTGTAAGTTTTCAAGAGCCGATCTTTCATTTATCTTTCCATTCTTTAGTAACTTATGTTCCCTAATCACATGTGCCATAAGCATCATTCTCATAAGTGGGAGACAAAATATAAGTAATTTCTTCCTTTCTTCCTATATTTCATTAGAAACCAGGCCATCCTTGAGAAGACCGATCATAACAATTTCACCAAAATTCTTGATTGTCAACTTTTAATAGAGAAAGTGGTGACATACCTTGCCTTAATCAATGTAGGGACCGAAACCGAACAATTTCTCATTTCAGGAGGTTAAAGTGTTTGTTTTCGGACCATAGTCTTTCCATTCTTCATTTGTAGCACATTGTCCCCAGTGACAGAATTTCGGTCTTTTGGTTTCCTCCCATAAAGATATGTTGCTCACCGGACCCCACAAGTTTAAAGTTAAGGTATCCATCTTTGTTATTTTCCATGTGCCACCAAAGTCAAAGCACCAAGATGCACCATTGGAGATAGCTAGCATGCTCTTAAAAATACACAGGCATGTTCCCTATTACTGGCATTGTTTCTATTGAACCTGCGTTTTTAACAATGTGACTAATCTTTTTGCAGACAAAGCATTGTCTTTTATGTTTTGCGGGCTTAAACTTTTCTTGTTCTCCGTCTTCCTATTTCACCTTTCTTCATAATGCCTTTTATTATTAAATTTCCCTTTCCCCTTGTTTGGTTTGAATAGGGTTTTGTGTTTACCATATGCACCGAATATTTTGGTGCCTGTGCATCGCGCACATTCTCTCTCCTCCTCAATTCTTTGTAGGGTCACGAGCTCCTCTATCCTTGGAATAGTCTCTCTAGCAGAAAAATAGGTCACAAATGCCTCCCATGAGGTGGGGAGATTATATATAAGGTGAACCACTTTCATATGGAGCAGTCACTCTAGCAGCAAAATAGGTTACAAATACCTCCCATGTGGGGGGAAAAGTATATATATAAGTTGAACCACTTGCATATGTCCATTGGACCGCATGTCAATCGTCTGCAATTCATGAACCAAGGCTCTGGAAGTGTGAACATTTTCGGTGATCTTTCCTCCTTCGGGAATCTCTAAATTGTGGTATCATTTCATTGTAAGAGTCTTTCTCATGAAGGATGGATCAACAAATTATTTCTCCAGCATCTCATAGATAGTGGTTTTGATGGTCTCATTATCTATATAGCGTAAGACTTGTGCATAACCATGAGTAGGATATGCCTAGGAATCATATATTTGTACTCCAACTCGGCATATGCATCTCTTATAGCCTAAGATGCATTCCCTCTAGAATGTGATGGTGGAGCCTCAGTGATGATCAAATACAAGCCTGCCTCATAGATCACATAGCGGATCTTGCGCTTCCACGAGGAATAGTTTGTTCCATCGAACCGTTCGGTGTTTAAAATTTCAGCCATAAAATTTTTGGCTGTCATGCTTCCTTGTCCCAAGAATACAAAATTGAAAAAGGAAATAAAATATCGGTAGCAAGAAACCCTTTTTATGATACCAATGAAAGTGGACAATGTGAACCAGCTAGAACTCTTACATATGTCCAAGAAAAGCAATTATAATTCAACTAAATAAGAGAAAACATTATTTAGATTTTCACTTGCTACCACCTTCCAAAACCTTTCTTATTACATAAGAAAAATTATATCATTGGAGATTCAGAACAAGAAAAGCACAATAAAGCATAAAAATAGATAATATGTCAAAAGATTACATCTAATGGAATATATATACCCCACGCCGGGTCTTCTACACCAAAGATACACGAGATCTTGGTCTTTCTTGAATCTCAACAAGTAGGAAGCGTGTCAAAACCCTCTAATCAAAATATGAGAGCATGTATGAGCATGAGATGGGATCTTGTTTCTCTAAGTATATCGGTGTATCCTCCAATCTTATCAAACTACCTAGGTACGTGCCCCCTTTCTTATTTTTGTTAGAGAATATGAGAGAGAGAAGAGTAGGGAGAGAGGGTGGGTTGCCACCTATGAAGAAGAGGGAGAGACAGAGAACTCTAGGCTAGGGTGTGGAGATTTGACCCAACAAAGAGATGTATTTATCATAGTCGTTTGGGATTTAGGGTTTAGCCTTATTTATAAAGATTTCATCTTGACCGTTGATCGTAGATGACATATCGGGCGAGATACCTTAGTCATACAATCTTTAAATTAGCCATCATGTCTATTTGAAAGTGCTAGAACTTTATCCCTTAGCTTTCTTTAACCTAATCCCATCAAAATCTTTTTGATGAAAATTGTCATATGATTTAAATTTGTGTCATATAACTCTCAATCAAACATCGTACTTTCCATTTGAAATTATTTAACCACATCACTGCATACCTGCTAGATGGCATCCTCAACAAGCATCTCATGAGCTTGGTGAGAAAATGGAAAGAGTGGGGTGTCCCATTTATGTGTGACCCAAGTGATCCCCACACCCCACACAAGTAAGCCTAATGAGGTAGGCCCAAATGTAATTTGGGCCCCCACAAACTTAAATGAATTTTAAAATAATTAAAATGATTTTTAGGAAAGCATAAATATTTTTTCTCAATATATTTTAATTCCTGAAAAATCAATTCTGGCCCTTCTAAAAATCAATTTTGAAAAAATAAAATATTTAGAGCTATCTAAAAATTCAAATTAATATTCTACAAATTACTTAATATAAAATTAAACATTTAAAATTATTTAATGGGAATTGGATGGTTCGTTAAGGAAAATGCGAATATACTGAGGCACTCCATATCCTCCAGTGGCCATGTTCCACACTCACTTTCTCAAACTGACTCAATAGTTCCCATGACCCACAGTTCATCACAGAAAATCAAGATTGGACTATCAAAGCTAGCAAATAGGTGAGGAGAACATAGTCCTATTCCATGGATTACAGGTCCCCCCCCCACACTAGGGACAGGTCTAGGTCACAAAGAGTTGTGCAAACATATTGCAAATGGGGCATGAGGAAATCTCTCACCCTCAATGGTATGCATTTCCCAATATAACTATCATATGTACATACCATGTAATGGTCATCATGAGGATTTAGCCCTTGTCCATTCAGACCTACCATCGCACTCAAGAATCAGTAAGTCCCTTTGCTAACTACTATGGGTATCTCTCTAACTTCATCAAGGGCTAACCCTACAAAACCTTCTCGGTTGTACTATATGCCTAGGTCTATAGGGTTTTAGAACTCAACTCAGCCTAGCTAGTCTAGCATAGTCTGAGTCATGGAATCAATGTTGCCCACTTCTGCCCCTCAGGACCATACTCTCACTGGAGTCTATTATATTATAAAACTCATTACATGTTCTCGTAAGACCTTTATATGGCCACAAAATCCCAACTGAATAGGCTAGGTTCCCAACTGAATGGGCTAGGTTCCTTTTTTGGGATTATGTGACAAACATGAGGCTCCAACTCTTCACGTCGGTAATTTTTTGAAAGGTAGAGAGACAGGAAGGATTATTTGTTTCATTTAAAAAAAATTCCCAGATATCTTTGGTTTTGACGGATGAAATTAGAGGTGACATTGTCCATAATCTCCAAAAGTGGTTTACTTTAAGTTGCTTTTTAAGGAAACTCCCTTATTTGACTTTTTTTAATGCCTCTAGTTATGGCCTTGAAGACTTTCGACAAATTCCAAGCGTCATTCATGGCCTTGGAGAAATGGGAAAAAAATTGTACAATTTTTTTTTTTTTTGGAGGTAGTTTAGTTGGGATGGGGTCTTGGGTCTCCTACCCGTGGTAGGAATAGTGTTCAAGATGTCATGTTGTGGTACTCGCTTTCACGCGTTGTTAATAGATATGTTTTACATACTTCATTTGTCGACTTGTACAATTCTAAGTTATACGGCTCCTTTTCCCAATGTGATGGGTTAGCAAAAGTACTTCTCTTTTAAATGCTATGCTCTATTCAATGCCTTAGGTATGTAATATACACATCTCTTAAGTGTTATTTTTCCCCCTTTTCGTTTTCTTTTTATTTTGAGTGCAGATTTTTTCAATCTAGAGATGAAGTTGAAGCCAAAATATTGGACACAGAAATAATGAGATTGATGATGAAAATGATTGATTCAAGAAAAGAGAAAGCGAATAATGGAGAGTCAGTAGGGTATGGTAATGATTTCTTTGGAATGTTGTTAAAATCTGGTCATGAAATTGAAGATGAAGCCAAGCTATCACTTCAAGACATCTTGGATGAATGCAAGACCTTCTATTTTGCTGGTCATGAGACCACCTTTGGCCTTATCAGTTGGATAATTATTCTTTTGGCCATGTACCCGGAGTGGCAAGATAGGGCGAGGAAAGAGGTCACTGAAGTCTTCGGCTCAAGCATACCGACCATGGATGGAATCGGCCGCCTCAAAATAGTAAGTTTCTAGCATTTTTATTTTTCTATGTATTTATTTTTTGAGAAATGCTGTTTAGAATGAGGAAATCATCACAACTTGCGCATAACACTGGAAACTAATAGGAAAGAACAGGAAATCAATGAATAGAAAAAAGAACAAGCAACGGACCACCTTGCTGATATAGTCGACGATGAGAAACAGAATGCATCCAATTATTTGATCGTGCAGAGCTCACCCAATGGCCGGGATAATGGGAACCGGAGGTTCAATTGCCCTTTTCATTTCTCATCAAGTTTAATTTCTAACCATGCTGTCTTTATCTCTCTTCCCTGATCCTCTGCAACTGTACTTGTCTTTTCTCTCTAATCAAATAGAAGTAATGGTAGGATGATGGTACATCCCTATTTACCTCAATTCATCCGCCCTCCACGTTTCTTCTCCACCATGTGCATAGAGCAATTCGTACATGTAAATCCATCAACGAAAAACACCAATTCAACAAAAAAAAAGTAAAAAATAAAAAGAAAAAGGCAACGAGCAGATTGACCGAGAGGGCCCCGAGTCGAGCCCATGGAACCCTCATGGCCTTCAAAAGCCTTACCAAGTAGAAAGAGATAAAGAAAAAACGGAAAGAACGTAGAGAGCAACACCCAAAGGGAGAGATGGAGGAGGAAGAAGCGAGGAGGGAGAAAAGCATCCTTTGTACACTCAGATTCTTCGTTCCTCTACTTGGTTTGATCACTGTGTTGATCCAGTGCTTGTGGTAGATGATAATATTGTCAAAGATAAAGTCCAACGTATCTAATACAGTGTTATGTTATCTTTTCTATTTAAAGGTACATACATTACGACTTTTCAAAGATGGGTGGAAAAATTTTGACTTCGACACCCAGCCTCTCTAGAAGCATCCAAGGAGATAAAGCTATATTTTTTCTTGGATGTAGTGATCGAAGTGAAATTTTTGGAGATTTTGATAGCCGAAAAATGGGTCTCAACAATGGAATAATCTATCGTTAGACCCAGATCATCATAGTTTTTTGTGAATTATATACCAAATATAGCATGTTTGATGGATGTCTTCAAAGAAATTGCTAGTTTATATCTAGGGTTGAATGGACGAAGACTTCGTATCACTCGCTGATATTTTAAGTAGAGAAAAAAAGAAAAGAAAAAAATCCTACTTCTAGTGTTCTAAAAGTTGGTCTATTTGATTTTCTCTTGACTTTAAAGAAGTCAGCTCCACACAATACAATATCTATTGAGATAATGGGGACTCTATGCGTAACGAAGGATAAAGCATGGGGAACTTTGTGCGTAAGAATAGTCGACCTGGTACAATAGTACGAATATCGGAGGAATCAAATGCTTCTCAGAGCAATCCCAGCTATTCATCGCAATCCAGGGCTGCATTCACTAGGAAACGCATTGTTCAGTAGTGGATTGTAAAGTATGATGCCAACAAAAATTTGAATTTTAAAACTCAAAATTCAAATGAAGAGATACCTCCCATCTCCATCCAAAATCAATGTGCTCAAAGATCTCCCTAGTAGTCAAAGATCTCCCTAGTTGTGTTCAGGACACGTGTTTGGAAGGATGGCACTCAAAATTGGAAATGGTGGTGCATGCAACGAAATCTCAAGTTTAACATCACAAAGTAGTGCTTCCCAAGCAACCATTTTTCAGTGCGTTTTCTAGTGCCCTACTCAGCTACTCCCAACTATCCCTTTCATTGGCAAAAGGTAAAGAAAAAAATCTCAGTGGACGGGCCAGTTTTTGTGCTTTTTCAGTGACATCTTGAACTACCCCAAGGTATCCCTCTTGTTGAAAAAAGAAAAAGAAAAATGTTTGGTGGCCATGGCTTCCGATAAGAAGATACTAATGAAGAGAGCGGCTTCAAAACCTTTGAAATCCCCGAACAAAACTAAGACCCCGGAGCCTAGCCATCACCCCTTGATTGGCTACAACCTGGAAGAGGGCGAAGATGAAGAACCCCCTCATGGCGGATGTGAATAAGAATTTTCCTTGTAATGGAAATGTCGTTCTGCAATGCCTCAAAAGTTTGGCAAGGTTGATGATGTGATGAATCTCAAATATGGAAACTCTCTGGACTCTTATTACCAAAATGTTGCAAAGATCTTAGGACAAGGTTGTTGATGCCCAACCTACTGGTTCAATGATTAAAAAATCAAAACACAAAGGGCATATGAAAAGCCAGCTCAACAACCTGGCATGCTCCAGAAACTATGACAGGGTAATTGTTAATGGGTGTGCTTGCACCAAATCTAAGCCTTGCGGTGCTCAGTCTGTTGCTTCGTCTACGATCACTAGGCACAGTAGGGGTTATGTATCATAATGAAAATACTTTGCTGGAATGTTCAAGGCCTCAATAGTAGTAGAAGGAAAAACGATGTCATGTTTAGGTTAGGTAGGAAAAACTTGATATTTTGATGATACAAGAACCAAAGATTCAGGCCCCGAAATTTCAGTCTGCTAAGTTAATTTGAGGCAAGAGACCAATGGACTTTATGGATTTATGGGTTTTGATTTTAATGCATTTTTAGGTGGTTTGCAGGTCATATGGGACCCGATTGTGGTTAAAAAAGATGATTGTATTTTAAATGAAAAACATATTTCTATTTTGTTTTCTAGCCCTGTGGATGGTTTTAAGTGATGCTTGATAAATGTGTAATGTCCCAAATTTTGCTGATGAAAGAGCACAATTTTTTGATGAATTATGTGCATTGAAAAATTTCTTTAATTTGCCTTGGTGTAATGGAGGTGATTCCAATGTGATTCAGTGGCCTAGTAAATCCTCAGCTAATTCTAGGATGTCTGCTAGTATGTGCAAGTTTAATTCTTTTTATTCAGAATCATGAATTATAGAATATAGTTTTGATTGGGGCAGCTTTTACCTGGCCAAACTATGCTCTTTCAGACCCTACCTTTAGCCGTTTGGATAGGTTTTGGGTATTGATTCCTTTCTAAATAAATTCCTTTATCTTTGTGTTCAAGCTTTAATGATAATTGCCTTTGATTATGTCCCACTCCTATTGAATTTGGTGGGTAAGAAATTTTTCCCATCACCTTTTCAAATGGAATTGAAATTGTTATCAAATAGAAGTTTTATTAAGTTGATAGAAGATTTTTGGCAAAATACCAAGACAGAAGGTTGGATAAGTCATCAGTTCATTATTGAAATGAAAATGTTAAAAAAAAAAAATTTTAAAAAGAATCTTGAGCTAACCTACAGTCCAAATTATAGTGACAAAAACAAATATTGAAAAGGAGGATATATGCCTCCAAAAAAAGGGAGACGAAGAAATAACTCCCTTGCTTCCTTGCATGACCATCTAAATTTGGAACAACTATACTGAAGGAAAGATCTAGAATGAAATGGTTAAAGGAAGGAAATAGAAACACTAAATTATTTCATGTTGTTGCTACTGCCAGGTAAAAGGGGTAACTCAATTAATAAAAATGAAGTGAGTGGTGTAGAGCTCACTAAACCAACTAGCATTAAAAGAAATTTAATTAACCATTTCAAGGAAAGCTTGCATAGGGTAAAAAAGGAACCATTTTAGTCTTAAGAATGTCAATTTCAACAGATTGCGTTCAAAAAGAGCTTTATGGCTGGAAAGGCCTTTCAAAATGGATGAGATAACGTTGTTGTTTTCTCTTTGAGGAGGGATATGATGCAGGGGCCAAACAACTTTCTTTTAGCCATTTTTTCAAACCTTGTGGGAGATCCTAAAGGAGGATCTTTTTTTACTCATGGATGAATTTTATAATTGAGGTAAGATTTCAACAGCTCTAATTTTACCTTTATTGCTTTAATTACAAAAAAAACTGCAATAGAATGTTAAGGGTATAAGGCTTATTAACCTACTAGAAAGTGTCTATAAAATTATTGCAAATATTTTGGCTAATAGATTGATGGAAATATTGCATCTAGTTATGAATGGTCCTCAATTTGTTTTCCTCAAAGACAATCATATTATAGACAGTAACTTAAGGGGCACAAGAATGCATAGATACATGGTTGAAAGTGCAAAAACCAGGTCTCCAATGCAAAATAAAAGGCGTATTTACAAAGTAGATTGGCATGTTCTATATGAAATATTAGGGATATGGGTTTTAGATCCTGATGAGGAGTACGCATTCAAGGATTCTGATGTCAACTCACTTCATCCTTTTCAATTGAAAATCTTGTGATTATTTTAATTTTTAAGAGGAATTCGGCAGGGAGTTAATGTTCTCCATCCTTTGTCTCCAAACTTATACTATCTTGGCTAAAAGTTTTAACACAATGCTGACTTCTTTTATGAGTAGAGGCCTTATTTTTGGCGTAATTGTTGGTAGACTAACTATCTCTCTTTTAAAGTATGCAGATGTTACTATTATCTTTTGTAGCCCAGAGGAATAAGAGGTAAGATACTTGTGGGTGTTCTTATAGTGTATGGAAATAACCTCGGGTCTCAAAATGAATTTGAAAATGACCGATCTGATTGGGATTGGATGTTTTGAAAACTTGGTTATATCTTTGGCAGAAAGTTTCCTTGCAAATACTTGGGTATTCCTTTATTTGGAGGAATTCAAACAACAACTTTATGGGATCCTATTATTGAATGATTTAATAAGAGACTGGATCAATGAAAGTCCAAAGCATTGTCTTTTGGAGATAGATCTACTCTTATTAAGTATACTTTATCCAAATTACCCATTTACTTTGTCTATTTTTAGAATGTCGAAGTAGGTGGTGAAGAATTTGAAAAACACTATATGATCTTTTTTGTGGGGCAATGTGGGAACAAGAAAAAAGCTAAAACTTTTGAACTGAGAAAAGGTATGCACTTCTAAGAAAAATGGGGTTTCTAGAAATTAAAAGCTCTCATTGATGAACACTAGCTTATTTAATAAGTGGTGGTGGCATTTCAAGATCAACAGAAGGGTTTATGAGAAGAGATGTTAAAAGAGAAATATGGAGTAGATGTGTTGACTGATCTTATTAAAAGTCCAAT